CAAATGTATTTTTATTTCCATCTTTTTAATGTGAGTCAATCAAAATATAAAAGCAAGTATTCAAATTTTCTTTTTTTCTTTTTTATCTAGAAAAAATAATAAAAAAAACTATTATATAATTTAAAAATGAATTTATTTTTAGATTTGTTATCTCAATATCCACAAGGCATGAGAGAAGCATATGATTCTTTAAAAGAAACAATGGAAAAGATGTTAAAAAGAAATGCATTTTCTGTTGTATGTTTAGATACAATTTTTTTAAATATTGATGAACAATCAAAAACACCAAGTTTATATACAGATATTATAGAAATATCAGATGGATCAGATAATGAAATGGTAAGTAATATTTAAAAAAAATATTTTTAATTTATTACAATAACAAAATAAATAATTGCTACTGATTTGATATAATTTAAATTTTTCTGTTTCAGTAAAATTAATTTAATAATTTTTTTTTAAGTATATTTAAATATATTTTATCAACATTTTTTTTTTTACGTTTTATATGAATAAAAAACGCGAAACGTTAAATAGCAATATAAAATAACTTCTACTTATTATAAATAACCTTTATGCTTGTATTAATGAAAATAACATAATTTTTAGCAGTTAATTTTTGACATATTTCAAGAAAATATTATATTTCTAGACGATCTATAACAATTTTAATAAGATGAACAATGAATACAAATTTGTATAAATGAAAATTTATTCATCAAACGGCATACAAGTTCATAAGAACATGCTTAATCAATCTCATATAAAAAATTTATATTCAATTTGTGTTCATATATTCTATTTTAAGTATAGTTTAAGTTTTAAATCTTTTCAATTGTAATTAAAATTATTGAACATTAATTTATTTAATTTAAAAAAATCTTAATAAGAAAAAAAAATTGGAGAATTAATATTAATTTTAAATAGAAATTGACAGCTTAAAATTTATTAATTAATTTATTAATAAGCAAATTGGTTTAATGGCACATTAAGTATTATTACTATCTCTTAGAAATATATTCCACACATATTATCTATTATATGGTGGTAAACCAAATAGTTCAGGTTGAAATTCTTCAAGACTATTTAGTATTATTGTTGGATTTTCAATATAATGATTTGGTAACATTGGATCTGGAACCATAACAACTTGCATCCCAGCATTAAATGCAGCTTTTACACCATTTGGAGCATCCTCAAACACAAGACACTAAAAATATAATATTAAATTTATAAATAAATATATGGGGAAAAAAAAATATAAATTGTAACAAACCTTTGATGGATCAGGATTGTCAATAAAACGTTTTGCAGCAATTAAAAAAATATCAGGTGCCGGTTTACCATTAATAACATCAGGATCAGAACCACCAAGAACTTTATGATTAAACAAATCAAATATATTTTTCCATCTTTGAGTTTTTAATTCAAAATTTTCTTTATTTGAACTTGTAGCTAATGCTATTGGAATATTATTTTCTTTTAGATGTTGCAACAATTGTTCAGCACCTATTTTTCAATAATTGTATATTTTAAAATAAGATTTTATGATAAAATAATTATATTTAAAAATTAATATTTAATTACGTTAAAAAAAATTGTTAAAAATTGTATTTAAAAATAATTTACTTCTAAAAATCTTTTCTTAAATTTATATAAAATCTTTTTAAAAAAGCTTAAAAAAAAACTTACAAAAACTTTTTATTAAGAGAAAAAAATTTCACGATAATAATTTTTAATCTAAAATATTAAACAGATAAAATTCTTTTCTTTAAAATTATTGCACATAAATATAATCATATCAATATCTGCATAAAAAATAGTTTTTGCAATAAATACAATAATTAATTTATTCTGATATATTTATAAAGAATAAGTTAATTTAATTTAATTTAAAAAATTTTATTTTATTCATTTTACAAAAATAATTTA